ACTGCTGCTTCTGGTCAGAGTCAGTGGTGCAGGTGGTCTGATGTGCCACCTCTGAGACCAACAGTAAAATAACTTGCATGTCAGTGAGGGCAAGGTCTTCAGAAGAATGATAGAAGAAAGCAAAAGTGAAAACCTATCCCTAAAGTCTTGGTTTGGCAGTGAGACTCCCCAGTTTCTATTGTTTTCCTTGGATCACAGCTCTGACTCCACCTCAGTTTCACTGCTGTCTCTGCTAATTTTCCTCTGTCTGTTTAAACAGGATGCACTGATACAGATTATTACTGCATTACAGTCCAAATGAGAGGCAAATCACTGACCTTTATGCATGAGAACAAATCCCTTAGGTGATACAGCTGTTTTGCAGCAGTGGCTATCTTGGAATACTCTGATGGCATATGCATTGCCCTAAGAGAGACACAGCACAACTGAGTGAAAGACAGCTCCTCCTCTTCTGAATGTTCAGGATGTCAGCAGGCACAAATTAGGATGTCTTGAACAGACCCACTCCCCATTTACACCATCTACACGTGGAGAGAATACCTCAAGGGCTATTTCTTGAGCAGGATGCAATGGGCTGCATCACATCCACACACACAGGAGGAAGGAGAGCAACAACATTATTAACTTGCGACTGTATGGATTTCCTCACATGCCATCCTCAGTTTTTACTGAACCTACCTTCACTCTAAGATGGCATAAACCAAAGTGATCCAACGCAACATCACTTTAGTAATAAGACCCTGGCAGCACAAAGGCAAAAGCAACTGAATCTCCCCAACTTTGAATTTGTTCAGGTTAGAACTTTTCTGGAATCTGTAAGGCATCACTTGTGCCTCTTTCACATGCCTCCTTTCTCTTAATCATGGCCAGGACAAATAAGATGTGGTGCATATGCAGAACAGACCTCTGTGACTTATCTGTCCCTCCAGTTTGATGGCTCCTGGGAGCTGTGCTGAGACAGCAGGCAATGAAGCAGGTTCTAGCTTGTGCTATGTGAAAGCTGCATCAAGAAAAACCCAGGGACAGACTAATAAATCATATTTCAAGGTGACCAAAATATAACTTCTGAGTCCCCCAAGGATTTGTGTCACAATTGGCTTTAATGAATGGTCTAAAAGGGAATTTTAGGCAGCAAATGTGATGGTAGCACTAAATGATTAAGAGCAATAAAAGCTGGAGGAGAAATGACAAAACAAGAGGGACCTAATAAAACTGGATAAATGGGCAATGCAGCAGCAAACGAAATGCAGCGTTGCAAGAAAATTTACCATAAAAAGAACAATGTTAAGTCTTTTTATGCATTCTTGAGTTCTGTATTTTGCTTTGAACGGATCTGGACTCTTGATAGACAGCTTAACCACAGCCCAGGTGTGAGACCAATGAAGTATATGAGATGACAGTTCACGCAATCTACCTAGACAAGACAGAGATAGGTGAAAACATCATGACAGAGAAAACATCAGAGACTATAGTATTCACTATGGTCACTTGTATAACCAAATGTAGAGCAGAGGGCTTGAGAATGTCATGCCTAGGGCCATACTTTGAGCAGCAGAGACGAATTCCCAGAGGCCAGGCCATTAACTGAGAGAGAAGGAACTCTAGAGAGGCATAGAATCATACAGATGGCCAAGACAGGGGGAATGAATCACTCTTTGTCTATCTATGTTAGTTAGCGTTTAGAGGGGTTGCTTAGCCCATATGCTCAGTTTTTAAGTGTCTGAAATTAGTGAAATGACTTGCACACATTGTTATTTTTTCCTCTGAACCATTGATTTTCAGCCACAGCCGAGACTACGGGATTGTTCCTTTTGTTTTTTCCTGAGAACTGGCAACTGGGGAAAAAATGTCATCAGAGGTACAAAATTAAATGAATAGTGGTAAAAGCTCTATGCGCTCAAACCAACCTTGGAGCACAGGTGGACTGGGGACACTGGTGAGTGCATGTAGGATCTTATCCTGGCCCTCTGACATTTCTGACCAGGGCAGTGGGTGGAGTGTGGGTCCCATGCGTGACTGTGACTGTCACTGGGGGTGTCTGGTGTTGTGGCACAAGCCCAGTCCCTCCACCATAGCAGGCTGAACTCCCTGGCTCTTTGTCATGAGCAGGTTTTATGTAGTGCTGCAAATGTTCATGCACATGGTCAGGCCTGCCCTTGAGGAGCCCCAGGGCAGGATGCTGAGGACCTCTGTGACCAGCGTGCTTGTTTCATTGACAGCCTGTGGCACCATATATTTCTTCTGAGCTTAGAGTCTTCTCCCGTCTTCTACTTTGGGCTTGCTGAGCCCTCATATGTCTGAAAATGGATCTCATCAGTAAAAGCAGAGGGTTCTTCAGTTTTGTTTGTTGGAGTGTGATAGATGCAAGTGCTGATTGTTTGCATAGACATTTCACAGACTGCAAAAACACTGTCACCTGTTCCATAAAACAGGGAAAAAAAAGCACCAGTCTGCCAAGTGCCTACTAAACACCAGCTGGTAAGTGTCACAACATCAAGCTGTGCAGCTATTGACTGTGCTCACAAGTTAAGGCAAACCTGAGGACAATCAGACAGCCTAACGGTGACACACAGCTTAGGAAGGTGGACTAAGAACCTGCTCTTCCTGCAGGCTCCCCTGTGGTGTGAGTGCAAGCTCCCAGCAAAAGGAATGCTGGTCCTTCCACATCAGGTGATACACAGCCTGGGAAGCTGGTCCCAGCTGCTGCATAGCCTGTCTTGCAGAGACCACTTCTGGGGGCTTCTGTGGAGTTGAAACAGACCGTGAAGCAGCTCGTCCTGGGAAATTCTCAGTAAATGCAGAACGTTGAAGGCGATGTGATGCTGGAATGTATTTTTATGCCCCACCCTCCCACTCTACTTACAATAGGAGAATTAGACCATCATGGTATCAGGATATGAAGAACTATCTGGAGGCATTTTTGTTACTGTAGACTCCCTTTACTGTGAGTAAAGGGAGAGACAGTAATGATCTGAAAATACCAAACCATAGCTCTACGGAGGAACAAAGTCACCTATGTGCATTGTAGGCCTGTATGGCATCAAGGGATAAATGCCTAGTACTTCCCAGGGAAGGCTTTCAGCACTGAGTGTATTGATACAGTGGAAGACTGCCTAGAGAGGTTACAGAGCCTTAACAGTTGGGGGTTTTAAGAATAAACAGTCATCTGCTTAAAATATATAAAACTGATGTTTAATTCAGATAGGAAAGTAATGGAATAGATGTCCTTCTACCCTATGCTCTGTGATTTCTGTTGATGGGATGAGGCAGAAAGCTCTTGAAGTCTCTCGACAGTGGTTTTGTGTCCTGTACACCACTTCCTTAATCATGGTGGTTACAGTTCTTTGTCTAGTGTTTTAAAAGCAATATGATATATGAAGGTGAGTGCTACAGTATGAGTAAAAGAATCACTACCAAATAATTTTCAGTGCTGCTTCTGCAATGGTGTAAAGCATGTTCAGGTGATAAGCAGAACCCATGGCATATTATGTTTGTGAAGGCACAGATTTTCATCTTGTCAGATGAGCAAACGAGAAATCACTAAAACTTTTTTCCTTGGTGGGTGCATGGCTCTCCAGGGATGCATGACTTTGTATTGAGTCTACAGAAACAAGGAACCAGTCTTAAACTGGTACAGTCTACGATGAGGCAAAGTAGAGACTGCAGTGTTTTGTGCACATCTGCAACAGAAACAGAGCACAATATGACCATGGTAAAAGTGTGGTTAACTGGGTGGTTATGTCTGCATGTCTCTTTCCTGGGCAATTTGAGGTAGAGAGATTCCTTAGCTAGAAAGAAACCTGCAATCTCATTGCAGACTGTTCTGCTTTCAGAAGCCCTTTTCCACTTGCCATGAAACTTGTGTTAGTGTCATTTCCCTAGCTCTTCTTGTTTACACACGCAAACAAAACCAAAAGATAAGATCCAGGCATAGAACTTTGATTGCAGAGTAAGAATGATTATAAATGGCTATTTCATCTTACAGTCTTTTATGTCTCTGAACGCATGGCACTCTGTCAGGGCTGTGCAACTGGTTTCCAAATTTATCATTGCCCCAGCCATAATGTTTAAAAAAAATCAGCCAAGACTTTCTTTTGGCTTCAACATGATTGGAGTAGAAAACTAACTACTCTGGTGGGCTGTACTTGGGCTGGTTCACTGCTAAGGGCAATGTCCAAGTGAACAATGATAAAAGAAGCAGACAATCTGCTTGCTTCTGCAAACTGAAGACTAGTTTCCTTGACATGATGCTGATGAACCGTTTTTTCTTGATGCTCAAGGCATGTAAAACCACAAATAAACACTAACTGTGTGCGAAGTACTCAATAAATTGTCATCAGACTTTCATTTCTCTTTAACTTTTATTAAAAGAGGTGCTAAGGTACTGTACTGTATGCAGTACATCATATTTATTACCAAAATTAACAAATATACAAAATTTTTACATGTAATTTTCTTACATCCATTTATTGGTCTATAATACTGCATTTGTTCAAGTAGGTTATCTACAGTATGTAAACATCCCTTGGATTGACCTCACACAGATTAGGAAAGCCCATCTAACCCATGTAGTTACCAAATATAGCTTTTTCTTATTTTAAAATTTATTTGGCTTTCATTGGTAAAATCTAATCTTCACATTTGGCACATGGAAGAGACATCTACAGTGCAAAAGAGGCAGATTTTCTGGTTTTGTTCTGAGCAGTTTAGCAGAGTCATAGTTTTAAAGAGCCAAGAATAAATTTACACAAACTTGGTAGGAGATGGATTAGTGTTAATGCCAACGACTCACAGATCAGTCATTAAATTAGAGCAGAAATTCAAAGCCTCTTCCCCAGCCCTCTCAGTCATGAGGGAAAAAAGCCCCAACCTCAGCCTTGTTTCTAAAGGATTAAAAAAGGACTCTGTTAGCAACAGAGAGAGGAGGAGGTTTAGTTTACAAGGAGCCCTCTGAGACTGCAGTTTCAATTTTCTGCTTTGTGGAATTTTTTTTTCTCTTGTTAGCGAGTAATTTTTTTTCCTTTTTAATGGGGAAAATGTAACCAATGGGGAACAACATTTTTGTGGTGGCAATTTCTCAGTGAGTTGAAGATTACAGTTGGAGTTTACAGATCTTTGAACCCAGATGTATAGAGCTTAGTAAGCTGCCATGTACAAGGGGAAGAGAAAGGATGAGAGAGAGAGAGTAATGTCATTATATTCCAGGTGTGGAGCTCTCCAATTTTGCAGTAAAATCCAGGAAAAAAATTTCTTTCTTCTGGTTCTCATAGTTCCAAAAATGTGACTTAATTTAACTGAGTAAAGCTGATCCAGAGAGACCTTCATTCGCACCTTTCTTCCCGTTCTCATCCAAGCACCGTATTGCTATTTTATTAGGAGGCCTTACCCATGTCCATGGAAGCATCTGATGAGAATGGACCAAACTGGACACCATTTCACATGGAAAGCCCTCTGCCATTCCTCATCTGTTACCACAGAGCCCCGCTGCTGTCTGTGGCACCGTACATCTCAGCCAGCTTTTTGAAGCGCGGCCCCCAGTCTGTCAGATAGTCGTAGCTCTGGTCTGAGTCTGTTGTCACCGACTGTAAGGAGCTGAGTGACTCTGCCACCGAGCCATTCCCTTCAAACATGTATGTCTGGAGGGAGTCGAAGGGAGGCGCCCACAGGTCCATGTCGGCTTCATACAGCTTGGCAAGCACGTAGTTGTGGACGTTGTTGTCCATGACACATGCCTGAGGCACGTATCGGGAGAGGCTCTCTATTTCAGGAAGCATGTCCTGCCGGTTTTTCACCACCAGCTGAGCCTCCCGCGGATTCCACATGGCAGCAATATCAAAGGCCTCTGTGTCCTCCTCCCCGCCACCCTCGTCATCATACCTGACGATGTTCTCATGGATGTTCTCTTCCTCGTCAATGATGTATGGCTGTTTCCGCTGGCGCCGCATGGAGAGGATGAGGAGCACCAACACTGCAGGAGGCAAGCAAGACACAGGGCTGTCATCAAGGAGGCAGATCTTGCCAGTGTTTCAGACTCTCTGTTGCTCTATTTTCCCCTTGGAAAGCCCAACCACCCCTTGGATTTAAAGAGCTGTGATGTTTGCAAGTTGAGGAGTGTAAATCTCCCACCCTGGAGTCAAAATTAATAGCTTGAGGTCCTGCTAATTTGTTCCTTTTTACACCTCAATTCTTAACTCTTGGTGACACTTAGGACATGGATACGCTTGCAATGCACTGTAGTGATACAGAATTGAGGCACTTTAAAAGAATTTTCCCTTACTTCACTGCTCCTCAAACTGGGTCCCCTGAAATTTCAGAGAATGTGTGTTTTGAACTAATATCTCATGACTTGAGAGAATGAGGGAACTGAAGTTCTTTTGATACCAACAACTAACAGGGGATATAGAAGATCTGGGCAAGGAAAGGATGAATTTTAATTGTGGAGACAGAACTCAGGAAAGATGCTCAGCCCCTTTATTGCAACACAGCCACTATTTAAATGAACTGTCTCAAGGAAAAAGGATGGAGATGGGGACATCTCTTGACAAAAGACAAGAGATGGAACTGGGCTTACCACTCCTGTTTCCTTTGGGAGCATATGATCAGAAACTGCTGAGGATGAGAAAGTAACCTGTCCCCAGCCACAGTTGTCAGTACTTCCTCCTGTCATACCTCTTGCAGGAAAGCATGGGCATGCCAGACATCCTAGCACTTTGGGTGTCTGGAAGAAATATTTGCAGGCCATAGTTTTCCCCCATTCGTACAGCCCAAAGTCTGAAGCCATATGCAGCTGGTCCTTGATTTGGCCCTTTAGGTATGTGTGTGTCTACATAAACACACATACATAGATGTGTGTTTGTGTATCTGTGTCCTACACCTTCAGTAGGTCAGCGACACCCTGGGCAGAGCTGAAAAGTTTGTCCCCCACCAAGAAGAAGCCAAGGCTTTACCTAACAGGACAAAGATGCAGGCAAGGATGGCAATGAGTGCCCCTCTGCTCAGGCTGACAGGGAGGACATAGGCTTCTGCGTTGCAGGACATCACCATGCCCTCATCATCGCAGCTGCACACATGCACGGTCAGCGTGCATGTGCTGCTCAGCACAGGGCGGCCGTTGTCGCTGATCAGGATGGGCAGGTAAAAGGTGCTTTGCTCATGTTGTCTGAAGCCAGAGCGCCTTGTCAAAATCCATGCTGTATTGTCTGAGGGCAGAAAATAAAGAGAGACAATAGCTGATATGCAGAGCAAATACATTCAGCAGAGAATGAAGATTAAAAAAATCAGACCCACACCCACACCCATTTTTTCTTGTCTCTTCAGATTTAGCTAAAAGAGCTTTCAGAAGGCAAGACAGAAATGAACAGTTGAAGGCAACTTGTCCCTGTTTGTTCATGCTCAGCAGCTTTTCTAGGCCTCACACTTAGATGCTGCCACCATTTTGGAGATGCTGGCATATAACCCTTGTGGACATGTTATGGTACTCTTTATGTTTTTTGATACATGGCATGGTTATATGCTTAAGGCAACAAGGTGACAAAGGAAAAAAACCCAGCTTGCTATCCTAAAGCCGCAGTGAGTTGAAGATTTGCAACTAAACATTTTTTCGGTGAAATACATGCAATTTCATTAGTACTTCTGCCATTGAAAAAAGTCAGAATGCTTTGTGTCATCATTGTCAGAATTATTCTGCTTTGATTTGACTATTCTGTTTAATTTAGTGTAACTGCCTGTTTTTTGTCAGAACTTAAATCAAAAGGAATCAAAATGACACTGCTGAAAAAAATAGTAATAGAATGACCTAACAGCCAGTTGCTGTTGGTCATTTCACAGGAAATTCCTACCTCTGGGGCTTTTTCCTCCATATTCAACATACTTTTTAAAATGTCAAAATTTCCCAGTGGCATTTGAATTCCTGTCTACCTCCTTCCCCAAATTCTTCAGACTGTGGACCAAGTTTCCTAATCAGAAAGCAAGTGGATTCAGGAATTTGCTCTCAATTCTCATCTCATGAATACCAAGCCAAAATCTTATCTTGGAGTGTTGATATTGTCAGTGCTGACTTTCAAGACTTTTGACCTCAGAGACTTCTGGAAAGCCCAAGACTGAATGTCTCCAATGTGGTCTGGCTCACCAGGGAGCCTAAAGGAACCTGCATGAAAATTGTCCTTTCTTACAAACATGTCTGCACATCTTGGGCCAGCAAAGATGAATGGGGAACACAGCTACTTTTCCTATTTGGCAGACCTGCAAGCCTTGACCCTGTGCAGTGATGTGTGGTATTTTTGGGAGATGACCTTCATGCAGTTTCTTTTACTACTTATTTTTGTTTCCTGTTCCATTGGTTCATAAGAGGTCACAGAGTCTGGCCACCTGCATCTCCAGGTTGCTACCGATGTACATTTTTTATGCTTGAAATGCAGGATGTTGATCAGCTGTTCCCAGATGGATTAGCACAATGGGACTGCTGTTGGAAATGGCAAGAAACCTGATCACAAGTAGACTGCGAAAAAACATAAAATATCAACCTGGGAGTGTTCCATTTCCTTATTATTTCTCTGTCCATTCACTGCTAAAAGTTAAACCTTGGGTAACTTTTTTTTCAGAGCAGAAGCTCAGGTTACATAGATAAATTCAGCTATATTATCTACATTTATCTGAACACCAGAAATAATTTGATGGCTTTTAGGAGTGAAATCAGGAGTGCAATATACAGCCAACTAAGGAATATATGCAAACTCAAACTAGACTTGCTAGACTTGTCTGCTAGACTTAAATTATGCTTTAAGTTCCATACTTTGTGCTGAAAATCTTATGGCATCAGATGGTAGTGGCACAAATAAGCATGGAGATGTTGGGTTCCACAGTTTGCAAGATTAGATTGAATTTGTGACATGTTTTTAAAAGGAATCTCAAGGTCTTTTTTGCTTACACATCAATGACATTTCAAGCTTTTACCCTGAAAGTGTAAAATTCTGAAGTGTGCTTGCATGTCTGTATGAGAATATATAGTGATTTGTAGTGTCTCATTAAATCATGCAATCCCAAGAGCTGGAACTTTGAGGAAAGACCACCAGGTGCAAGAAGAAGTTGCTTAAAACTGATTATGTGTTACTGTTTACTGATTTCACCTTTGATGTGCCATGCAGCTCTGAGTATGTGCAGTGGGTATGGACAGACACAGGTAGGTCTCTCTGCCTTAGTAACAAGGGATAGGACAAAAGGAAATGGCCTCAAGTTCACCAGGGGAGGTTTAGATTGTATAATAGGAAAAATTTCTTCACTGGATAGGTGGTCAGGCATTGGAAAAGGCTGCCCATGGAAGTGGTCGAGACACCATCTCTGGAAATATTTAAAAGACGTGTAGACGGGGCACTTAGGGCCATGCTTTAGTGTTAGATTTGGCAGTGTCAGGTCAACAGTTGGACTCAATGATCTTGGAGGTCTTTTCCAACATAAATGATCCTATGATTCAGGAATATGCCCCAAAACCCAGCAGAAAGCGGTACCCTGTGCCTCCCATGGCTTCTGGGAAAGGGGTGTATTGTGGACAGCAGCTCTTGCTTCCTGCAAACATTTCCTTCTTCTCTCCTGGGGCACATACAAGTGCTTTCTCTCCCTTAGGCTGTTCATGTGCCCTTTACTATGTGCTCCCCAGCTATTAATACCACGTTTCCATCACTGGGCCAGTTTTAGCATAAGAAAAAGCAACCCAGAGGGCAGAAAATGACAAACTGCCTGCATTTATGCTATGTCAATGGAAATATTTGAGTCATCTTAACTGTAGTAATTTGGTTGCTTTTCTCTTTCCTGGGTGAAAGACTCGCTTCCTTTAAATTCACTTACAGTAGAAGTCACAAATTCTATTCAGGTGACAGCAAATCTTCATTTTATGTAAAACTGTTCTTTGTGAAGGAAAAAGACTTCATTATTCTGAGCTGGTCATATTTTGCCTGTAAAAGAAGTCACAGGCAGTGAACTTGACTGAAGCTGTGCAAAATCATCTGGTGAGAGATCTCAAGTGGTTTTAATTATTCTTTTTTTCAGGCCAAAACCAAGTTTCTATAATCTAACTTTAAAAGATATATATCTATATATACCTTCTGCTGTGATGTGTGACCATTTCACCCAGGTCTTAAATGTTCTTGGTGATAAAATTCTCTTTGTGACTCTCAGCATTACATTTTGGCTCTTTTGTTTTGTTTTGGTTTGAGACCCCTGGTGGCCTAGTGGTTAGCATGCAGGACTCTCACTGCTGCGACCTGGGTTCGATTCCTCGGTCTCCCGGGCAGATGGTACCCGTTAGCCCTGTGAGGCCATCCATCTATGAGAAGGTCACTCTAAACAAACCTACGTCCTGAGGACCTTATTGCCATTGTCCAAGCTCGCTTGGCCCCGGCAGATGAACCTTAGGATTAAAGGGTGGGCTCAGTTCAGCGCAGGCTGTGTCTCACCTAAAAAATCCATTGCGCAGGCTGGAAAGGTAAAAGACCTTTCCCCAGATCTTCGTTCGCGAAGACTGGCCATTATTATTATTATTATTTGTTTTGGTTTGTACTAGGCAGGCATCCAAATAACCCTTAAAGAATTGTTCTACCTGTTACTCTGCAACTGAAACACATTGGTGCCAAAACTTGTTGTGTGACTCATCAAAAGCCAATGTGATTTGACATGGTAGTGCAGTGCGAAGGACATGCTGGAATGTGATGCAGCATGGCAGAAACTGGAATACACAATTTTATTCCAAATTTGATATCTACTAAGCCCCAGCCATCAAGAGAAGAGGGCTCGTGAGCACACGAAAGCCCCATAATATTAAAAAAAAATAAAAGCAGGCATGACAAGAATGAACAATATTTTTCATCACAGCTTCCAACACAGCTTCTTTGGCTCATGGGGCTGCATGGTAGCACTTAGCTACAACACTGAACAGAGATGTTGAAGATTGCAGCATGGCAGGTCCCGCATTTGTATGATCAGGAGGTGAAAACTGAACTTCCCATGGGCATGCAGGCTGGTGTCTTCATGTGGTTGTGAGAACAAGCCATGGAGCACCATCTTCCTGCAGTTTTCTGCCCCATTGGAAGTGATGTACCTCCCTGGAGAGGTCAGGGGAATCAAGCAATGTGTAGGTCCAAACCTTGAGATCAGAGCTAACCACGACTCTTCTCACTGGAAAGGCTTGGTTTCATTCTGTATGTGTCTGCAGGAGAATTGGGGATGATAAGCCCAAAAATTCCATTAGTCTTTAAAAACTGGTTGTAATGATTATGAAGAGTTAGGAATAATATAAAGAAATATTTCACCAGGAGTGAGAGAAAGAGCACAAGGAACCAGACATTATGGACACCACTGGCTTCAGGAAAGAGTCACACTTTTGGTCTAATATTTTCAGCTCAGTGTTTTTGCACTCTGCCAAAGTGTGAGGTAGACCACAGATTTAGGGAAGGAAGAAATAGCTTAACATTTTCCTTGGACAAATTTAATTGCAATGCAGAGGACTGCCAGAGGCTCCTAATGACAGGCCTGGTGGTGGTATGACACCAATGTTGATCCTGCACCCATTTAAATGTCTTCAACAGTTCCTGGTTCCAAAAGGTGGAGGGCAGTGGTTAAGGTTCAAGAGAAGATCAGCTCAGAGTTTAATCTGGAAATGCAGTAAGCTTATTTGTTGTTCATCCCATTCTTACAGTAAGCCTCTTCTTCTGACTTTTTCCCAACACGGTCTCAGCTGGACTTAGAAGCGGGGGAAGATGGCTTGCCAGTGCCCTACAGCAGAAACTGGAGATGGGAGACTCCAGCTCAATTCCCTGTTTCACCCCATGTATCCTAAATGGCCTTGGGAAGCCACTTGTGCCCAGATCATTGCAGCTAACACACTTAACATGTGTATCTCTCACTGATTTTACTGAACTCAAAGGGAACCAGGCGTGTAAGTAGCTTAATTTCTCCTTGCCCCAGATCCCTGTCTATAAAGGAGAACAGTAGGATTTCTTTATCTGCTGAAGATATGCAGAGAATGAATAGACTGAAAAAATTCTCAGAGACTAAAATTACGAGGGCCAAAGAAATATGTAAAACAGTTCGTCAGAATGCAAACTGTGATCTATGTGCTGCTCAGTAAAAATCAAGGTTTTAATTGTTGCCAAGAAGGCTACATGTCTTGCAGTTTCTCTTACTGCTATATTGGACAACCAAGTAATCAGCACAATTGTTAATTTTAACAGTGCCTTCCCACAGCCCGGGAAGTGTTTCTATCTCATGTTTATGTGCAAAGGCTGTGAGTAGCAAAGTGGCTTCTGTTACTTATCTTGTCACCCTGTGACATACAGTATAGCTACCCCCTTTGTGCCTAAGTTATATGATTTATATAGATGAAATTATAAGCATAAATTACTGTTACTAAAATGATTACTGCACTCCAAATTGCTGAGGCAGGAAATTAATCCGTAATCATAGAATCATAGAATATGCTGAGTTGGAAGGCACTCATCAGGATCACCGAGTCCAACTCCTGGCCCTGTGCTGGACACCGCAATAGTTACACCATGTGCCTGAGAGTATTGTCCAAACACTTCTTGAACTCACACAGGCTTGATGCTGTGACCATTTCCCCAGGGAGCCTGTTCCAGTGCTTAGCTTCCTTCTGGGCGAAAAACCTTTTCCTGGTATCCAACCTAGACCTCTCCTGACTCAGCTTCATGCTGTTTCCTAAAGTCCTGCCACTGGTCATGAGAGTGCACTGCTTCCCCTCATGAGGATGTTGAACACCCCAATGAGATCTCCCCTCAGTCTCCTCTTCTCCAGGCTGAACCAAGTGACCTCAGCTGCTCCTCATATAGCTTCCCCTCCAGACTGTTCACTACCCTCCTTTGGACACTCTATAATAGCTTAATGTCTTTTTTTATATTGTGGTGCCCAAAATGTGGATATTTCAAATAGTCAGTGGTTTGATATTTAATATTTTTATTTCAAATTAATAACCAATAGTACCCGAAGCGTCTTGTGATATATACGTATATATCTATATCTATATATATATCTCTGTATCTGGAAAACTGGTATTTTATAGAGAGTGGGAGGCAAAGCCATTGAGTCATTGCTGTCACTATAAATTATTGCAAGTATGGCCTTAGACAGAAAAAGTGCATCTGATGCTAGGAATTTTGTGAGTTTCTTTTTTTAGAAAAATGCCTTGAGGATGAAATGAGCCTGGTTTGCCAAAAGCTTTAGCAATACTTGTGTTATATTTGCTCAGTTTTTTTGGCAATATATTAAAAAATAAAAAGGAAAAGGGGAAAAAGAAGGGGATAAAAATGCAAGAAATTGTGTGGGGAGGCTTCAGGGAGACTATAGAAAAAAAAGGTTTTGGGATGAAAAAGCACTAGCATACTGTGGAGGAGAGCCTAGATTCTGCTAGTAGTGTGTTTTAAGACACATTTGGTTAATGGAGGCATAGGCTTCTATCTGAGCCTCTATGTTGTTCTTTCATATGCCTGGAGAGGCCTAGATAGGGGCTTATGAAAGTAAATGTGACAAGTATGCGTGTGTTGGAGCAAGGGTAGGCTTGGAGGCTGGCCATGTACGCTGCAGGTGGCTAGTCTTTCTCTCTGTTTATTCTGGAATTGCTTGCTGATTTGTTGTGCTTTACACCCTAAACTCCTACTGAAATCCAGCCCCTCAGTATTAACTTGCAAAGGTCTGCACTAGGTCACTCAAGGTTATCCCTCTTTCCTAATGAAGGCTGGTGTGCACCTGACCTCAGTATCGTCATCTGCTCATGGAGGTCCTCTTTCAACAGGAGTCATGCGAAGGCCTGCTACAGCAGGGCTTTCCTGCAGGCTCCAAAAGCTTCCCCAAAGAAGCAAATTCCACTGATTAAGATGCTCAAATTCCAGTGCTTTGCCATGAGTCTTCCCAATGGTATTTCCGTTTCTACTTAGGTCATCTTACACAGACCTTTAGCTGTACACCAAGTTACCCCCCCTAAGGCTCTGCAAGTCCTCCCTACTTCCCTCTCTCCTTAGGGAAATATGGATGTGCAAGGAGGAAGAAAAAAGTGCTTGGGGGTAAAGAATGGAACAGTACAAGAACTTTCCCTTTTTCTGTGCCTGGGAGAAAACATGAAGAGTACAAAAAAAAGAGCAATGTAATTCCCTTCAGATTCATCTCCTAGTTCCAGTTACTATCCTACCTTTAAGCATCTCTTTTTGAACGAATGCAATTTCCACTCTGATAATCCGAGATGCCTGCAGCCTGACCAAAAGACCTGAATGTGCACAAAACACTGGCACATTTCCTCAAAGAAGGAAAAGTGGCCTATTGCTAGAGAATATTTATAGAGAAGAAAATATCATATAACCTTCAAGTGTATTAAATAACATGTCATTTTATTACTGCCTTTAAGGAGCAGGTGTCACTTGGTATTATTTGAAATGGCAGTCTTATCACACACTGTAAGTCACAGCTTCTCAAGTCCAACTCATGCACTAGAAATTAGAGTAGCTAACTGTCTGTGTCCACTCTGATTACCTTGATTGTCCCTTAGAGTAAAGTTAGGATTGCTGGCTGCCTCTGGAGCCAGGCTGTAGTAAAAGTGCTGACCCTCCTGTGGGTCATCCCTGTCGATGGCGCTCACTGTCTGGATCAGCTACAGCATATAATAAAAAGATAGAAACAGGTGAGAAACAAAATATTCATAATATGATTGAATAAAGAGATAACATATTTTATATGTATAAATATAAGCAACTGGAGTATTTGAATAAAATTATCTTCCAGAAGTACAGTAGATAAATCAAGAAGAAACTCAAAACCTTGCAGGCTTCATCTCTTTTGCTGTGGTCATGCAATCTGGTCATGCACATCCCTTTTAAACAAAGGGGGAGATATTCAATTTGCTTCAAATAACAGACAGTTTCCTCTCATGCATCCCTATCTTCTGTTGCACATTTCTTTTTGTCTTTTGAGGGCCTAGGGTTCTCAGAAGACTCATTGTGCATTAGAGAGCTTGTAAGAAAGCCCATACTTATTTTCAGCTTCATTTTGCAGGTAGAAAAGGATGTCAGGTTGATTATTTTACCACTCCTTTAATTTTAAATCAATAAAATTCTCCCCATAATGTCAGTAAAAAAGAAAAACCATGCAGACATTCTGCATATGCAATAAGTAAAACCAAACTATAGAAAGTAAGACAATGCTTAATCCAGAAAACAATTTGTCACCTCACCTATAAAGGCTTTGTAAAGTAGGTCTAACAGCTTGAAGCACAATGAGCTCTGCCTGAATAAACATTCTGACATCTTTTTAGACAAGGAATAAATCTTCACCTGGATTTTTTTACTTGAAAGTTATTTTGGGATTCAAAGGCAAATGACAGACCCATAAATTCTTATTCACCACCTCAAAACTGATTTCAGAACTTTTAAAAATGTGGCATAGAATTTGGCTTTCTTTGCTGAAGGAAGTAGTCCAAATTATTGTGCATAACAATAAGCTCAGAAAGTTTATTATTTAGGACACTCACCCTTCAAAACTAGGAAAAAAGTCTAGTCAATGATTTCCATTCCCTATATTATTAAGAACTTCTGTAAATTAGTGAGATGAAAGTATCCTGTGTATGATAGTTGTGATGACAGTTGTTTCAGCAGTGAGTAGCTATTTCATTCCGCTTCACACAGCTGGGAGAAGCTTCAGCAAACCGTGACAAATCATGAGTGGTGTGTCTATGTGTCTATACTATACTAGTCAACTTTGCATTAGGAGGCACCAGTCACCACCATGGACCCTGAGTGGTGAAGCAAGAGGTCACCTCCCCACAAACGATCAGCAGTAGAGCTTGCACCAGGTCCAATGAGGGTGAGCTCATGTCCATCTGTGACACCAGTGACCTTGTTCAAGGGCTCTGATGGAGTTTTGGAAGGGAGAGGATTAAAGAGGCTTTGCCACTTGCTTGAAGGTGCTGATTTACAGTGTGTGAAATGGGAAGTCTTGTGTTGTTTTGACTCTCTGTCATGTCCAGTTCACAGCAAAACATATTCTGTTTGGCACCCTTTTGAAGCTGTTGTTATGTCCAGCTCCTGTAAGACCACGTGTGCTTAAGGCTCTTATAACACTTAATAGTAAGACTTATCTGTCACATGTGGCCTGGGCTGACTCTGTGGCACTTCTCATAACAACTCTCTCTTTGATGCTACTACAGGACAAACCAGGTGTTTGCCTGCTGGATGGCCTACCCAGCGGAAGGCTTCATACATACATCTATGAAATGTATTGCACAGTGAGCCTAGAAACTACTGCAGGAGAAAAAAAGAGGTGTAGGAGAGAAAAAAGAGGTGCTATATATGATGGTAATCTCAGTGCAATATGCTTGCCTTTGGAATGAAGCACAGACAGCTGCTGCTGAGTGTTCAGATGAAACGAGTGGGTAGCTGAGCCCTCTTTCTAATATTCACCCTTTCTGGCATTCTGTCTCCATGTAGAACAACATCCCCTTCCCAGACCCTGGTGTTACAAGCATTTCTCACCTGCCCTGCTTTGGCATTTTCACAAACAAAAGCTTCATAAAATCTTGCAAACTCTGGTGCATTATCGTTCACATCCAGGACTTTCACTGTCACAGAGACGCTGCCCACCTGCGAGGGGTTATCTGGAAGGAGTAGGTATAATATAAAGAAAGGCAATAAATGGAAAGGGGAAATGGCTGCTTCTCACTCTGCTCAAGAGGTAAAGCAGGTTTTTTCCTACTAGCTTGCATTAAATGACATTTTGCCATTGGGAACTGGTAACTTGAGGATTGTGTGACTCAGTGAAGTTGCAAATGCTGCTCTCAGTGTACCCTGGCTTCCCATTTAATCCCATCTTTTACAAACAAATTCTGTAAAAGGCTCCAACTTGGTTCAGTCCTATGGAACTATTTCTATAACAACAGTTTTAGACAATGCCCTTTAACTTTTTTTCACTGGCCTTTGACTGGGCAATACTATTCGTTGAGCCTCCGTACTGGTGGTACAAATTAGGAAGGGACTCTTTTTAAGGACAGACTTGTTATTTAGAGCTTGTTAAAAACGGCAATTCTCCAGTTCAGACGTGGTTTTGCTCAGAATTTATGTTCCTTGAACTCAAAAACAGTGTCAAGTCTTTGATACTTTGTACAGAGGGGTTTAAAAAGTAATAACACATGGAATTGTACAGAAAAGCTTTCAGTGAAGCTTAAAATTGCAATAAAAATTTTACATTCTGCATGACATCATTTGTGATGTTTCTGTCCCACTGGTTCATTAGCTTTCTTTGCCAGTAAATCAATACATCATTTCACGTATCTTCACAAATTCCAAACTAAGTGGCCACAGAATAATTTGTTTTTCTTACTCTGTTTTTCCACCCCAAATCATCTTCCACCCCCCTTTATTTAATGATAAAATGAAACTCTAAGCAGAAAGAAAAAAAAAAAAGAAGAGGTCAGAAAAGGTGCAAAAATCCAGAAAATTCTTTAAAATTAGTATTCTCATCTTCTTTGTAGCCATACCACTCTGTGCATTTATCTCCAAATGTATCTCCCTTTATAGCAAGAAATTATATGATCATATAAACGATAGAGAGTTTTCTTAAATGTTCAATGTACTATATTCCATAACGTGTCACTTTGTGTCGAGATAATATTCAAACTATATTGTTTCTCCCTAACTTGTAATTTAATCCTTCAGCCTCCCATATATTCATATATATATCTTGCTAAAACACCCATTATTGTGCCAGATGAATATCTGCATTTATACTCTTAGTAATATTGATCTAACCTTTAACGTTAGGAGCTTTATTCAGAAATGCATAACTATGACGTTTTTGAAACTAAATTAAAATATTGTGCTGCACATATACAGAGCAAAACTGACAGAGGATTGGTGGAGGATGAACCAAAGGAAGACATGCCTTCATATTGTTCTCACCCTCAAGTGCTGCTACAGGGGCAGCTTTTATAGACTCATGTGTACAAGGAATAGCAATGGCCATTGGTGGCTGAAAATAAAACTGGTGTCAAAATAGATGGAGGTGAGATCATCTCATCTCACCAGCCCCTCTCACTACCTAAAAAGGCACAGAAGGCACCATGTTCTGGAACAGCCTGCAAATATGTGGCACAGTCACTCCAACTCTTGTGAAATATTCCCTCTGCTTTCCAAGTCGGCCGACTGCATTTTGGGCAAGTTTCTTGAAAGTTTGTTGCTCTCAAACTGCCCCACCACCTCTGGCATAGCCTGGATGTGCAGGGAGCTCTATCAGATGCAATCAGCTATTGGCAGCAAGCTGCTAAAAAGCTGCTGCTCCTCAGTAGATGAACTGAGATCCTGAGCAAAAGCTACGCGAACCAGAGATTTCAGGTGAAGACTGGGTGAACTTTTTATTTCCTTATATATCCCAGGCTCCTTTATGAAGTTCACATATGTGAGTATTTCAAACTCAGCTAAATTTTTCATACTGACTCCATGAAATGCTGAGCATCTCCTTGTTCTCATAGCCTTGAAAAATACCTGGCACCAGTGAATCTTGGGCTGAGTTTTAGTGCATTGTAAAACCCAAAGGCATAATGAGTTCAACATACTTGAAGATCCCAAAGCACTCTGGCCCAAATTATTTATGTAGTAAGCAGATGGTAATGTCATTTACTTGCTGCTGAACCAGAGCAGATTTCAACTAGTGATCTAGCAGTGTAGCATCATTGCTGCCTAACAGTCCCTGCACCACTCAATCCTCCCAGGTACAATTGGTAGCTCTAGTAGCCTTTGCAGTGTCTGCTTTAGATGCCTAGCCCTTCTGAATTGATAAGACTCTGCCAGAAACACATCAGGAAGACTTTTAAATAAATCCCTGGAATACTAATGATTTGAAAAAGAAGGACTCTGCATTTAATTGCCATCCTCTATGCCTCCCACCACCCTGTGAAAATGAGCATGAAAAATAAATAAATAAATAAATAAACTCAGTATATGCTTGTTGATGTCAGAGGAGTAATTCAGTTAATACGGCTTCCCACTCAGCGCACAACAATATGTGAACTGCTGAATTCAGGTCTCTCAGCCTGCTTTGTCTATTGTATCTCTTTAATCTATGTACAGTCTGCATTATCCTTACTCAGCTCCATGGCCAGCACAGTGATGTTGTGCCAAGAAATGTCCTCCCGATCAAGAGGTCTTGCAGTCATCAGTGCTCCTGATGTGATGTCAACATAAAAGAACCGCCCTGGATCACTGCTCCTGTCAATCGAGTATCTGCAAGAGTACATATTAAAAATATTATGCAACCCTTGTGAAAACTGTTTGTTACAGCCAACAGAGCTGTCCAGCAAGGGGAATACTGTCATACACAGCAAATCCACACTCTTCCATAACTTAGTTATGTGCTCCTTTGACTTGTATAGGTCCAGAGTTAGATGCTGGAAAAACTAGGAGTTCATGCGGCTAATGGCATTTAATGGAGAGTACTATTTGAATGGAGATGGAAGACGACAAGATTTAGAGGAAGAAGCCCTAAAGCAAAGCACAGCTTAGCACAGGAACATCTGCTTTACAGAGAAAATCTGCCAGTGAGGAGTGTGATTTCTTTTTCTAAGCAAAATAATTATGCCCATTTCTTAGGCACAATTCAGACAGGATGAAAATGACTTCACAACAGCTCATTCTCTGAACACCTAGGCTGATGAGAAGGAACCGTTCCCTTCCTTGTACTTCTGTATTCTCTCCTCCTTCAGGGGAATAAACTCCACCTGCATCCTGGCGCATCCTACTGATTGAGCTGTGTTAGCACAAGGGGGATGATGAGTGGCTTTCTCATACCATCCAGTCAGAAAAGCAGCTCCATCTGCGAGGTTGATTCATCATAATTACTAAACCTGCCTGCCCAATATCATGTCAGTTTAGTGCTGGGAACAAGCTTCTTGCACTGGTGAATGGGGGATTGTGGTGGTACCTGCAGGCCAGAAAACCTGGGCAGGGAGGCAGCTGATTGACAGATGTCACTGCTGTACTCAGTCATAGGGATGGTTTTGCAGGGTGTGTAAAATGCTCAGTACCCTTCATATGCATCAACTTGCTCTTAACAGCAGTTCGTATGAATTGCCTTCCTGGATAACTGTTAGCATGGTAAGGGATCCTTCGACAAAAGCCACACATGTGCCTAGGTAATTGTCACAGCCTAAAATAGAGCCCAGACTTAGTGTCCTTTTTGTTGATTGTTTCATCAAAGTTGATGGGAATTGAAAGCTTTAATAGTAACGGATGATGAACAGGGATCATTCTTCTGAATTTTCTCCTTTCAGCATGAATGCTTTCACTGAAACAAGCATGTCAGCCTGATCTTTATATAGGGACTTACTATACAGGGACTTACTATACAGGGACTTACTAAACTGGGATATAAAATACTACTGAGATATGTTGTTGGCAAATTCTTTTACACTCTTTTTCAAAAAAATCAAAGAGGGAGGGATGGCTGGTTTGCATCCCTTTCCTTCCCAGTCCTTCCCATCTCTTCTTAAATAAAGAGATTTCTCAGGCATTTGATTTTTTTAGGAAATAAGTACGAGTGTTCCTGTATTTTGCTATAATAATTATTCTTGTATGAGGTCTATAAAAAGAATTTCTCTCTGACAGTTTAAGGCCAACAAGTATCTGAAATTGAATAGGGCCTTGTGATTAGTGGTATGGAATTAATCACCCGTGTCAAGAGGCACAGGTGGAGTCTTTTTCTGAATTCTCCACCTAGGTTCTCTTGTAATTAGTACCTGCTCCTGCACACTTGTTTCCCCTGTACTATTTAGATAATCTTCCTGAATCATTTAACAACAATCATGGAATATTTCCAGCCACCAGAATTTCACAATGTGGGAGCCAGGTACTGGTTGCTAGGAAAATGAGGATTTGAAAGTTCTCCTGTGTTTTAGTGAGCCCTTCTGAAATATGTCCTGACTTCTCAGGCCTTGAAAAAATGGCCAGATCACAGTTTTAATTTCAGATGGAATTCAACTTATGCAACAAAGTATGTATCGGGGATTATTGTTTTTCTTATCTTGCCTTGCCCTGTGCAAAGTGAAAGCAGAGCAAGACAAAAACATTGTGGGTCTGGCTGAGCTGGAGTTCATTTCCCCACAGTAGCCCTCACAGTGCTGTGCTTTGCATTGGCAACTAGAAGGGTGTTGATAACAGACTGGTATTTTGGATACTGCTGAGCACAACACCAACAGTGTAACACTCCTTCCTCAGTTGAGGACAAGATCCTGGGAGGGGACCCAAGTAGGCCAGCTGACCCAAACTGACCAGAGTGATATTCCATACCATACGGCATCGGCTCAGATATAAAAGCTGAGGCAAGGAGCAGGAAGGCAGGCATTCATTGTCTCCGATGGCTGCCTGCTTAGGAACTGTCATGTGTGCTGAAGCTTCTCGGGAATGGCCGACCATCGCTGCTCATGGGAAGCAGAGAATAAACACTGCTATCTTTTGCTTCCCTTTTGCACGCACAAGCTTTTGCTTTGCTTCTGCTTTAATAAACTGCCTTATCCCAATCCACGAGTTGTTTTCCATCTTACTCTTTCCCCTGTCAAGCTGGGAAGGGGAGTGATAGAGTGGCTGGGTGGGCACCTGGCATAAAGCCAAGGTCAACCCACCACACATTGTCAGACTGATACTGCACAGAGTTGGCATGGATGGAGGAGACCACAGGAAAGGGAAGGAAAAATAATTCTTTACATCTGCATTTTAGATAGCATTAGAAACGGTATTCTTTTTTCCCTGTTTCCTTTACCTCAATCATTTACATTTGTAAGTAAAAGGTGTGGGGGAAACAGGAAGGAAGGAATGAGGAAAGAAAGGGAAATGGAAAGGGAGGAAGATGGGGAGAAAAGGGGAAGAAAGTTGTCAAGGAACAGACTTACAAAAGAGTCTGTGCATATTTACAACTTCTTTTTTTTAATGTATCTTAGGTGATGCATTCTGTGCTTTGTAGAGTGTTGTTTCGAGTTTCATCGAGTCACTGGAAAGCTCTGAAGAAAACTAAGAAAAACCTCATTAAAAATAAAAATGAACAATTCTACCCTCTGATAGTCCTCCGAATTATTCTTACACTATTTTTTGGCAGATTAGCACAAAGTTGTTTGCATTACAGTGTTTGGATAATGCTAGAGAGTAACCAGCAAAATAGAATGTGAGTGGAAAAAAGTTTAGGGTAATGAAATTGTGATGCAGACAGTATAATAGTTTTACTGAGGAATTTGAGACAATGTCATGAAAAGTATGATAACCTTATAATGTAGGCAGAAAGAATAGGTATATTAAAGTGGCAGGTTTGAAAAAAATAATTAGAACAGCAACATAGACAGCAATATCATTAAGAAAAACAGGCTTTGTTTCTTCTCAGATCTCCTAGCTCACAGAATTGCTCATTAAGATTTCACTTACTTCAAAAACTCCTAATATTCAATATTTGAACTTCCTCCTGTATTTCCCAAGACTGTTCCTGAACACAGACATCTCAGAAGCTGGACTGATGCAAGGTTAGGCAAACAGCAGGTCAACACCCAAAACTTCTCTCAGATAAGAGAAGCAGCCAACTGCTGGCATAATCAATGTGCAGTCACTAGGAGCTTCTGCAGGTAATGAAAACTAGTATGTGGGCTGGCCTCAGAGAAGAACAATCTGCTCTGATAAATGGGGCTGGCAGTGGCTGGCAGCCACTGTGGAAAAGAGTGCTGTGATCACACAAATCTGCTCCTTTGGTTACTTGCTGAGTTGCACCAGTGAAGCTCCTGTGGCTGTAAATACACCTTTACCTTTCTTAGGGGAATATCTAGCTCTGTAGCTTTCACCAGACACTAGATAATTTAGTAGTTCGTGAATATTTATTAGCATGCATTCAATCTACTCCAAAAGTAGCTGTGTATTTGAGCTGTTGATGAAGGCAAGCTTTGAAACAGAAGGGGAAGAAAGGACAAATAAGTTGATTACCTTCCCATTGGTATGGCAGCAAGTTCTCAGTGATGCTGTCAGGTTTTGTGCCAGCAAATGCATGAGAGTCTGGGGTTTGCTTTTAATGTATGCTATCAGGACATGCCTGACCAGCTCATTGCTAGGCTAGATGCTGACGTTCTCTATACCACTTCAATGCTTTGATAGTCCCCTCAGTGTGAGTTCTGTTGACTAAATCCATCGACAAATGCTACTGGCTAAAAGGGGAGAGTCCCTCCTGTGCTGTTTCAGACCCATCACTGCCTCACCAACCAGACATACCAGGCAGTACTCATAGGGGAATACATAAAGAGAGGACAGACCTGATGGAGTTGTTGGTCACATCTGGGTCCTTGGCAGAAATGATCTGTATGGTGGTTCCAATATCCACATCCTCAGGCACTTCCACAAAGTATATGCTGGGCTCAAACACAGGAGGTTCATCTACATCCTCCACGCTGATGTGGACAGTGGTGGTGTCACGGAAGGGGCCTAGGTTCAGGAACCGCGTTTCCAGGTGGGGGTTGGCACCCTCTACTTTCAAGGTGTAGCTTTTCTTGCTTTCAAAACTTAAAGGCTAAGGAGAAAAAATATATCTAGCATTAGGCATATTGAGTCATATGATTTAGGCCATATAATTTTAATTTTCAGAAGTAAAATATGCCTTCTAATACAAACTTATGCTGCTTTTAAAAAATAAATATCTTCTATGATTTTCAATCATGGGGGCAACAAAGATAAATATTTGCAGATGGACACAAAGTGTTGAATAGAAAGTATAGTAATAGAAATGGCACTGTATACTTTTTAAATTTAATTTGACAGTTGAACTGAAAAAAATAGGAGAAATACTTGCAAGTAATTTAAAAATACATATTATTTAATTCTTCTTGCTAAAATGAAAATAAAAGCAGTAACACCACCACTGCACTGTGATATACATAGCCTGTTTCATGCCACTCTGATGAAAATATAGGCAGAAACAGACAATATAGGAGTTCCTGAAAACCAGGTAAAGATATGAAGAGTCTGTTCCTCAAAAATGGCTCCAGTGTCAGGAACAAGGATGCTCACAAATAAGGTGGAGGTCCCAATTAGCATCCTCTTTTTTTCCCTGAAGAGACTGCAGTCTTGTCTCCAAAGAGCCTTGTCTGCCAAGTGATAAAGAGCTCCAGTGGGAGCAGGGAACAGCTGCTCTTGCAAGATCCTGTTCCAGTTTTTATCAGTAATTCATCCCTCCTAGAATTTAGGTTTTTCACCTCCTTTCAGTAAGTATCCTAAACACAGGTTCACAGTCCAGGTATGATGAGTGCTAGGATTTGAATCTCCTCCCTGTCTAGAGAACAATTTAATTTCAAAGCATTATAAGGCATCCCTGACGTCTTCCTGAAGGAGCTCTTCCACTTCCTATAAAATATGATATACTCAAGTATTATTTGAAACAAGGAGTTCCCTTTCCCTTTCCCTTTCCCTTTCCCTTTCCCTTTCCCTTTCCC